GATATATGATGATAAATAATAAAAGATAAGTATATAATAATGATAAAAGAAATAATATTTATTAAAAGAATAAATCAAGGAACTGCTTGAATATTATATGAAACTTAAGAACTATTAAAACTAAACTGAACTTGAACCGACTAACTAAAACCAAAGCTAAAGAGACCTGTATTTATATTCTTTTGGCACCCTTTGTGCCGCAGACAAACTATACTATTCTCTACCCTAGATTGGTTCTTTGCCAAGTAATACAAATAATATTATCAAAGGTAATTTCATTATCTATCCCCAGGTATCCTACCTGGGTATTTCCCTAGGTATTGTACCTAGGTATATACCTGGGTAAATTAACAATGATAATTCTTAAATGTAGCGCTTCTTAATTCATACCACTGATTTACAAAATTAACTATAATTATTAATAATACAAATAAAGAAGATAATAATAGATAAAAGATAAAAATAATAATTTAAAATGTCACAACATTTCCTCTTTTATTCTTGAGCTCCTACGAGAAGCTCTATTTCTTGTCTATATTTAACTTTGAGTTTGATTAAAAAGTCTTCAAACTCTTTATTTTTAATATGACTTAACCATGTAGGAGTAATATGCACAAATCTTCAAAGTAAAAACTCTCCTACTACCTCTGTTACTTTGTTGGACTTTTGAGCAATTCTCAAGAAGCGGGTTCTATTTCTTTGGATTAGATTCCAAATATTTCTTTTAATCTAGTTTGTTGTTTCTCCTTCCTTCTTAATTTTCTGGATTACTTGATTTCAAACTTTGAAATAAGCTTGTATTTTCTGACCATTAGATTTACTTGGATCGATGGTAAATCTTAAAAGAGTATTAAAATTCTCTTCATTGTTAACAGTTTGGTCTAATTCATATTCAGCATCATATACATCTTCGATATACTTGCTCATTGGTTTTCTTTTTGTTTTTATTTCAGGAACTATTACAGTAGTTTCACAACTATTTATTTTTATTTTAATTGCACCAGGATTAAATTATATGTTTATGTTAGAAGTTGGGTGGAAACTTTGATAGAGGTCTATTAATTTTTGCTGTTGTTCAGAGGTGAGTTGTAAATTCATTTTGTTCTTAATTAAAATTATCCATAGTACCAAATACATATATATATACATTTCAATTTTGCACAAAATTAATTTTGTATAATTGAAGAGGTAATTATAACATGTGTTTCTATAAGATATCTCTGTTTGTAATGTTTCATTTTTTTTGTATGAATTGGCTTCTGAAGTATCCTTCCTAATTTATCACAAATTAAATATGTATTGTTTCCTAATTTTGTTTGTATCCAAAAGGGTCCATTCCATTTTATTGAAAATTTATTTCCATGCACATGTTATTTTGCAGAGTCGTACAATAAAATGATATCATTAACTTCATAAGTTTGAGCTTTCTTTAAATTTTGTTGACGATTTCTTTGGAATTCCTGTGCATGTTGAATATTTCTATGATTAATGATTTGAGTATCAATAAATATTCCCTTTAAAGCACTAATCCTTCTATTCAAAGATTTTTCAAAATTTTCAATTGGATTTAAATTTTGTTCTTGATCTTGGAATTCAATATCTATTAGTAGTTGTACTTCTCTATCATGTACAAGATAAAAAGGAGTATATTTTATAGATTCTTGTTTTAATGTTCTATATGCAAATAAAATACTTGGAATTAATTCATCCCAATTAGATTCACAAGTCTGTAGATTTTTAGCAAGAGACCTGTATAAGGTACTATTAAATCATTTCGTCAATCCATTTGTTTGGGGATGATAAGCAGAGGAAAGTTTATGTCTGAATCCTACTTCCTCTTTCATTAATTTAATTGTTTCATTCATAAAATGAGTTCCTCTATCGGATAATATTATTGAGGGAGTTCCATGTTGACAAATAATAGTTTCATATAAAAACTTAGTAATTTCTTTAGCAGTGATTTCTTTTACTACCTTTGCTTCTGGCCATTTAGTAAAATAATCAACAGCTACTAAAATATATTTGTTTCCAGAGAAAGTAATGTTTAAAGGTCCTATGAAATCTATTCCTATTTGATAGAATAGTTGTACTACTGGTATGGATTGTAATAGTTGTATTTTTCCTGGCTTCCCAAATCTTTAACAGCTGTTACAAGATTTAATATAAGTTTTAATATCTGCTCCCATACCAGGCCAATAATATTTTCTTGTTGCATTCTCTATTGTTTTCTTTAAACCAAAATGTCCTGCCAAAGGGGATGAATGCAAATTATATAAAATTTTCTCTCTGTCCTGCAGAGTTATAACATAAAGGGAGTTTTCAGGATTCTGTTTATTTTTCTTAAATAAAATGTCATTTTCTACTATATACTGTATTGCTTGTTTTGCTAATTTTTGTTTTTGTTGTGGGGTTAATTCAGGTAAATAATTATGTCAAAGTAAATAATCAATAAATTCATTGTACACTTTCAAGTCCATGATAAATGGTATACTTTAAAATATATATAAAAAATGTTAAAATAAAAGGGAAAGAAGACTATCTACTAGATTAGTTTCTAATCTTGAGAGTGCATCTACATTTGTATAATTACTTCCTTTTCGTTTAATAATATCATAAGGTTCATATTCAGACAAATGAATTATCTATCGGACTAGATATCCTTTAGGTTGCTTGTGTTTCTTTAACCAGGGAATAGCTTTATGATTAGTAACAATACTGAATTTTTGTCCTTGTAGAAAATGATGAAAATACTTGGTGGCCTATATAATGACAAGACATTCTTTTTCAGTCACAGTATAGTTTCGTTCAGCTTCATTAAGTACTCTGCTAGCATATGCAACAACTATATCTGCCACCCAAATTCAAAATCCAAATGCCAAAATTCTAAATGCCGAAATCTCAAATTCCAAATCCCAAATTATGATTAGTATTTTTTGCTAAAATCCCAAATCCCAAATCCCAAATCCCAAATACTAGTAATTTAGAATTTGGGCAACACGTATAGTAACAACATGTTCATTTTTTATATCATCCGACTGAGCTAGAACAGCGCCAATGGTATAATCAAAAACATCGGTATGTAAAATAAATGTCTTTGAAAAATCAGAATAGATAACTATGGGTTTTGTAGTAAGACAAGTTCTTAGGTACTCGAAAGCCTTTTGACAATCTTTAGACCAGCGGAAGTTTATATTCTGTTTGGTTAATTCATACAAAGGTTTGGCAATTTTGAAAAAATCCTTTATAAATCTCCTATAATAGGAAGCAAGTTTAAGAAAAGATCTAACTTTCCTCTTAAAAATTGAAGAAGGACATTCCTTGATTTTCTCAACCAAGGTTGAGTTCGGTTCGATTCCTTCCTCAGACACTAAATGTCCAAAGAAAAGTATTTGTTTTCTAAAGAAATCACACTTATCAGGATTTAACTTTAGACCTGTTTTAATTAGTAACTGCAAAACTTGTTCAAGGTGAGAATAGTGATCTTTTAGGGATTTTGAATAGATGATAATGTTATCTATATATATTAAAATAAACTTCCAAATCACATCATAGAAGACATTATCCATCAAGCGTTGGAAGGTTGCTGGAGCATTCATTAGACCAAAGGGCATGACTGTAAATTCATAAGTGCTAAACTTGATACTGAAAGTAGTTTTCTCTTGATCAACAGTATGCATTGCTACTTGCCAGAAACCAGAAGTTAGGTCAAGAGTTGAAAAGTATTTACTATAGACAAGAGCATCCAACATATCAGAGATTTTAGGAAGAGGATATGCATCAAGTTTTGTCACTTTATTTAATTAACAATAATCTATAACAAGTCTCATTTTTCCATTTGTCTTGTCAACTACAAGTGCAGGAGAAGTTTCCTTTATAAAAAACTCATATTTAGGAGAAGTTCTGTAATAGTGTTATTTTATTTCTCTAGTATTTCCAGTATCAATGTGATGGATTACAATATTAGTACGGCCTAATTGAGTTAAATCTTTGATTATAACATTTGAATATTTTTCAAATATATCTTGGACAATATAATTGTATTCATTTTGAGCTAACTCTTCTACTCCTCCTTTTACCAAAAATGATTGTGCATTTTTGATTTCTTAAACAGGAATTATTTGGATTGTTTTCCAGTAGGAATAATCTTCATAACAATTATTACATTCATCCTTTTCTGTTAGTAATTGTTTTTGACACCAACATTCCTTATCAGGTTCTTCAAACCAATGTTTAACTTGATGTCGGTATCTTTGATTAGTTAACCAGGGATTAAATTGTCGATTCATATAATCATATTCTTGTCAGGTAAAAGTTTCATGATTAGTTTCAATTTCTCAAGGAGTAAATTTGTAAAAGTATTGATCTGGACTTTTCTCTTCATTTACCATTAAGACAAGGTTACCATCCTCATCTTCATCTTTATCTTCTTCATATACATAATCATTATCATCAGAATCTTCCTCATTATTCATTACCGGTTGAGGTGGTGCAGTGGAATTTTTGCAAAAAACTTGAGCTCTTCTATGATTATCAGAAATGATTACTTGGAAATCTTTATAGTTTATTACTGCGTTGACCTTTCGTAACCAATCAGTTTCCAATACCATGGAATAGGATACTGTATCAATAATTTCTATATCTGTGAATACTACTACATCACCAATGTAAACTGCAATATTGTCAATAATTCCCAAACTAGATCTTTTGTTATCATGTATACCAGTAATCATTTTATCTGATTTACAGGTTGTAGTTTTGTTTAAATGTTCAAGGAATTTCTTTGAGATTATACTTGTAGATGAACCACTGTTCAGAATAATATCAATGGTTTATCCTCCTACTTGTTCTTTACAAATCATAGGAGTATTAGAGTAGGAAGTGTTTCCTAAATTTGTTTCTTCTCCATCCTTCTTTTCCTTTTTCTTAGAATCTCTCTTTCGCCTTGGAGTTATGGCTTTTTTTAATTCATTTTTGAATTTAGGTATATTTGCTAATTGTCCTATAGTAATATTTGATTTGACATGTAGCAAATCTTCAACAATTGAGTATGGCATAGTTTTCTGCTCCAATAAGGGTCTCTCAGTAAAGGCTAGCTTTTGCCTTCCTTTCTTTCCTTCCTTTTGTTCACCCTCTACTTTGCGTTTTCCTTTATTATCCTTAGAACCTTCAGCTTTTGTAAGTTCTGGAATAAGCACATCTGTCATTTCAACTTCATTGCTACCAAATATTTTATTTTGTGGTTTAGCAGCATGTCGGGACTGTTGTAGTCCTTGAGTTTCTCCTGTATATGAGGGAATTGCATTATCAGACGTACTCCCACCCTCCTGGGGTACGCTTTCTAGTTTAAATGCTCAACAGGATAAACTTGTTGAGTCAATGGTACTGTTCCTGTTTCATGTAATCCTATCAAAACTTGTTGATTTTGATTTTGAGGGGGTTGTTGAGAAACTACCGGAGGAACATTTTGATATTGGTTCACTTGAGGTATTTGTTGTTGTGCTGGAGGCATTTGCATTTGGTAAACTTGTGGTTGTACTGTTTGTTGCGGTTGTTGCTGTGCAAACAAATGGGTTCCATACATATTTTGATTTGCAGGGACTTGGTTATTCACAGGTGGTATTGTTTGATTATTATTGTTATTATTGGAACTAGGACAATTTCTTGCATAATGTCCTATTTGATTACATTTATAACATGTAACTGGTCTTCGGGGTGGTCTGTTATTATTATTATTATTGTTTCCAAAATTACTGTTGTTATTATAATTTGGTCTGTTGGACTGAGGTTGGTTTGTATTTTCTGTATTATTGTTTCCTTGTCCTAAAGCTAACTTTTCTAAAGCCTGGATCAAAGGATTTAAAGCTTTATTTATTGCAGTTTCAACAGGATCATTTTGAGAAATTAGATTTGGGTTTTGGTGTGAATATGCCATTGCAACTGGAATATTATTATGGGGTTGTTGAAATCCTAATAGAGCTTCAGGATAAACTCTATTATTTTCTTCCATGCGTCGGGCTGCTTCAATCACTTGATCAAGAGTAAGGTTGTTTTGGAAGGTTAAATGAGGATTTAATTGACAGGCAATTTCTCTGCGTAGTCCTTTAGTGAATTGATATACTTTATCAGATTCAGTCCAATGGTTATTATAATCAATTCTTCTAATTAAGCGCTTTATTTCTAAAGCATATTTATCAACAGGTTCAGTGAGGCCCTGCACTCGTCTCTCTAATTCTGATCTCCATTGTATAATTTTTCCTTGGTTTCTGAATTGCCTAAGGAAAAGAGTTTTGAAGCATCGGTTGTTTGGATTTGCCCAGGATTGGAATTGGGTTCCCATGTTGGCTTCTTGTAATTCATACCATGTTCTGGCTTCATTTAATAGGTATCCTCCAACTACTTGTAATTTGTAGTTGTTGTGGTATCCATTTACTTGAGCATTTCGCTCAAATTCTTCGAGCCATTCGATAGGGTCTTGATTTCCTCCTTCAAAGCGAGGCATAGGTACAGTATTTCTAATTTCCATTCGATAAGTTAAATCTTGGAGTGCATTCACAACTGCAGTAGCTTGTTGGGCATTCATGTTGTTAAAGAATATAAGGGTAAAGATAAATATATGTGGTAATTCGTTAAGGATTATAACTATACTAATACTAATAAGGGATAAATATAAAAATGTAAAAATAAGGATGAAAAATATAAAATATTATTAAAGAAAATAACAACTAATACTATTAAGAAGAATAACTTTTAAGAAGTTCTAAATCTTTAAAAACTTGTATACAATTATCTCTAATTTTAGAAACTAATTTTAATTGTTCTCCAATTTTGCGTAATTCTTCAAGATCTACTAATTTCCAATCTGGATCTTGGTCAATAGGGGTTTGATTAACTATATATTGTATTTTCTGATTATAAACTTCAGTTAATTCTAAAATAATGTTATTCAATTCTTCTAATTCAATCATAAATAAAATATGAACTAATAGAAATATAAGGGAAATAAATATAAATAGAAAGTAAATTAAACTAAACTAATAAATTTTCACAACCTCACAGGAGGCACCAATTTGTCGCGTGCCCAGTGCGACAATGTTCTGAAGGATAGAGAATCTTCTCTAACAAAAACTAACAAAAGGTTATGTAA